AAGAACTGTCAAACCCTTATTGATTACTTTGAGAGCCATGGCTCGCCAAAGTGTCCACCAGAGGCTAATCCAGCAGAGTGGATGCTTCATGTTATTGGTGCAGCTCCTGGTTCTCATGCAAACCAGGACTATCACCAAGTCTGGTTAGAATCTGATGAGCGTCAAAATGTGTTGAGAGAGTTAGATTCTATGGAGAAAGAACTTGCTAAACTGCCAGTAGATGAAACAATTGACCACCGAGAGTTTGCAGCACCGTTCTACAGACAGTTTTTGCTTGTAACGCAAAGAGTGTTCCAGCAAACCTGGAGAACACCAACATATATCTGGTCGAAGATGTTCTTGTCCATCACACCTTCAATTTTCATTGGATTTGTGTTCTTCAATGCCAATAACACAATCCAAGGTCTTCAGAACCAGATGTTTTCCATCTTTATGTTCATAACAATCTTCAATCCACTGTTGCAGCAGATGCTACCGACATACGTTGACTCCAGAGATCTTTATGAAATGAGAGAACGGCCATCAAAGACTTTTACTTGGAAGGCGTTTGTCCTTTCACAGATTGTTTCTGAGGTTCCTTGGAATGCACTGATTGGTACACTAGCTTTCTTATGTTGGTATTATCCTGCAGGCTTCTACCATAATGCTCAAGGTGGGGGCTCCCAAGAAGTACATGAAAGAGGTGCTTATGCATGGTTATTCTGTGTCATATTTTTCGTTTACATCGGTACTATGGCACACATGGTAATTGCCCCAATTGAGCTTGCTGATATGGCTGGTACATTAGCATATTTGTTCTTTACCCTTTGTTTGACCTTCTGTGGTGTTCTGGTCACTCCAAGTGCCCTCCCTGGATTCTGGATTTTCATGTATAGGGTTTCTCCAATGACATACTTCGTCTCAGGATATCTCTCCAACGCTATTTCCAATGCTAATGTTACATGTTCTGCTGATGAATACAGGGTTGTTACTCCTCCAAATAATACCACATGTGAGGCTTATTTTGCAGATTACATCGCAGCAGCAGGAAGTGGTTATATAAGGGACCCTGATTCAAGATCCGAGTGTGAGTTCTGTCCGTTGTCGAGTACTAACGACTGGTTATCTTTGAATGAAGTGAACTATAATCAGAAGTGGAGAAATCTTGGTATCTTTTGTGCCTATTTAGGCTTCAACGTTGCCGCATCCATTGTTCTGTACTGGTGGGCTAGAGTTCCAAAGAAGAGCAGTAGAGTGAAAGATGAGGCTCCTAAGCAGACTCTTAGTGATAGACCAAAAGCTGGCGAGGAGTATGCTCTTAAGGGTGAAAGCTCTACATCTGTTTCTGTCTAGATTTTGTTCTTGACTTATACGTTATGATTCTAAAATTCATATGACTGTGATATTTACAACCTCTATGTGTTTTCATGTTGTAGATCCTGTTAGATATGGGGGATACGTTTTCAAATTCTTTTTTGGTTTCTGCAAAACTATCTAAATAATATGTAAGATTTTGTCTGTATTTGTGACATTTACTCCTTCAATAAGTATATTAGATGGTAAAGTATCACCATTCTGGAGAATTTTTTCATCATTATTGATGAATTGATACTAGAGAATACCATTTTAAAATCTCATTTATAATATTACTACAACTTGGATAGTAATTCCGAACTTTTACCTTGAATTAATATCAAATAACAGCTAATTTCTTTAATTTGCATGACCAGACAAAGGAAGCAAAGTGCAATTAGTACTCACATCTATTTAATTAAATTACTTTTAATGTGATTTATATTGAAATGAAGGTGCCATTGACGAAGACTAACACCTGGACACCAGTTTCATATAACGGCCGTTGTCGTGGTAACGGTCCCAAAGACAACAAAAAGGAACATCCTCACACCAAATTCAAAACAACTTGAAAAGTAAACAAAAACAACTACGGGTTGTTAACGCGGTATAAAGTAACCAAGTTCTCTGCATCCCCTTATTCTCCACATAGAAAGGGACTGATAATGAACGAAGAGCCGGTGGATTTCTCACTTATTGAAAACCAAAAGGAAAACATTGAGCCTTCCAAGGATGGGCGTTCAGCCATGGCGTTGACAAAGCTGTTCAGTACAGAGGTGAAACAACTAAAAGGTCAACAGGATTATGAGCGGTCATTGATAGAGGAAAAGTTGGAGAAAATTGATGAGCTTGATGATCCAATAGAGCCATACTTGGAGTATATTGAATGGGTGAAGAGGAACTACCCTGCAGGACCTTCAGTGGAAAGTGGGCTCATTCAAATAATGGAGAGATGCACATCGCAGTTCAGGGACGTTCCCTACTACAAGAATGATCCACGTTATCTACAAGTCTGGTTGAGCTATGCAAAGTATTCCGAGAATCCACGCGACATCTTTTTATATCTTGCCAGAAAGGAGATCGGTAAGCATCTCGCAACGTATTATGAGGAGTACGCCAATTATCTAGAAACCAGTGATCGCAATGTACAGGCAGAACAGGTTTATCAAGAGGGTCTTGGACAAGAAGCTAGACCTCTTAAAAGGCTCCAGAAAAGATTTAACGAGTTCAGAATGAGACTTGAAGCAAAGGACACCACGATGGAACCGACATCTCCTGTTTTTCCTTCAAGGTCTGTGCTTTCAGTCAAAAGTGGAACATCTCTGTTTGCCTCATCGCATAAGGAACCAAAACCGCAAAAAAAGATTGAGATCTTCACCGATAACGATGATGGACACGAAGACGAGCACATGATAGAATGGGGAAACCTTGGAACGGCATTTGAAAGAAACAAGGAGAATAAAGTTTTACCCTCCACTTGGGTTGGAGAAACTTTACCCCAGGAAGAATACTCTGGGAAGCCCAAGGGGATGAAGGTATCGGTGTTCCAAGACTCAAGCGACTTACCGAGTGGACCTGTGTATAAGGTTATCGAAGTTCCTGGGAAAAAGAGGGAGAAAGTTGACTTAAACTTTGATTTGCTGTACAATGATGATGAAGAATTCTGTGTTCAAGAAGTGTTAGCGATAATGAAAGGAGTCTACAGAACCAAGACCCAAGCATCAAACTTGGATGACTCACCTCGGTTCAAGTCACTTGTCACCCAAGTCAGAAGAGCACAATATGACGAGACAATACATTTGAACAAGGAGGAGCTTAAGAAACCTGCCTCCCCAACAGCAACGTTTTACACCAAGCAAGCCAAAGATGAAATCAACGCGATGTTTGGAGACCAGAGTGCTGAGAATATCAACAGAGATGATGATACTAAAGATCTGGGGCTGATATATGATGACTTTACCGAGAATGTTGCAGAAGTCTCAATTAATGATTTGACTGAAAAGGTGACCGAACATACAAAGAGGAAAAGGGATGAATTGGCAGGCGTAGAGAGTATTATAAAAAAGAAGTGTGTTGTGAACCCTGCAGATGAGTCTTTCAAGGAGATGTTGCTTGAAAATTTGAATCCATCTTTGAATACGTACAAGGGGTTTTACCGTTACAAGAAGACGATGAATATGTGCTCTCTATTGAAAAAGTCTCTTAACATCAAACAATCTAGGCACGTCTTTGTGGAGTTTGAAGGAACAAAGGACCCTTTCAATTTGAAGTGTCTCCTTGGTGAAGGTGGATTTGCATGCGTTTATCTAGCTGAAAGTATGATTGGCGATTTCAAAGCTATAAAATGTCAAAGACCATCAACTCCTTGGGAGTTTTACATATTAAGACAGATTGAGACAAGGCTCAAGGGTAGGGATACTCTCGATTCAATTGTCTCACAGTCTGAGATCCATGTCTATGATGATGAGAGCTATTTGGTTTTGGAGTATATTCGTAAAGGTACGATATTAGACGTTGTCAATTTGTTCAAGACCTCAGGAAGGAAAATGGATGAATCGTTGGTGATGTTTTTCACTTGTGAGTTGATTAGAGTTATTACTTCTCTTCATGAGGTAGGTATTATGCATGGTGACTTGAAAGCTGATAATTGTATGCTTAAATTCAGAGCTGGCTATGAAAATGACAGATCAAAAGGTTGGAAAAACACTGGAATAAAGCTCATTGATTTTGGAAGATCCATTGATATGACACTATTCCCTAAAAATGTTGAGTTCAAGTCAAACTGGGACACTGATAACCAAGATTGCCCAGAAATGAGAAATCAATCAACATGGACATATCAAGCAGACTACTACGGTATTGCAAGTATAATACACACCATGTTGTTTGGTACATTTATCGAGACCAAGTTTGATGGTGAAAAACACGTCTTGGTGAATCCAATAAAGAGATATTGGCAACAGGATATTTGGAATCATTTGCTTGACATTTTAATCAATTCAAAGCTTCATGGAGAGTTGCCGTTGACAAACAAACTTCAGCAATGTCTTAAAGTTCTGGAGGAATGGTTGGAAAGTAATGATTCTAACTTAGTATCTATAATGAAGGACATCGAACAAGAGTTAAAATAATGGAGATTTTAATAAATGAAAAAGAGGAGCTATTGTATAGTTATGATTTTCCTTCATTCGTTGATGTATCTTTGTGCAGAATAGAACGAATGCGTTGCTTGAGATTTTGAATCTTTGCCTTAATCTTAACCTTTGGATCAAGTTCAGCAGACACGAGATCAGCATCTTTCTCTGGCACAGTTCGCTTGAACAGGAGGTTAAATACTGTTCCAAAAGTCAAGGACATGACAGTAGCTGTAAAGATGATAACGTTGTAAGGCATACTGAAATCAGGTGTTGGTAGCGTTAACAAATCTGGAGAAGTTCTCACTTGATAGTCGAGTGGTTCAAAGACCCTCACCATACCAGGTTCTACTGAGAATCCGTGGTTCGCATCTGGTGGGTATTCAGCAATTAAAAGAAGAGACTTGTCAAATTGATAAGCCATTGTGATTGTTGAGTTTGGTGGTAGCACAATTTCAAATTCCAAGTGAGTTGGACGCTGACGATCAATCTCAGGTTGGTAGTAGATCGATTTGATGACCTCATCCTTTTCTGCACCTGTGATGGTCAAACTTTGGAGGTAGATCCTCATAAACCATGGTAAAGTTTCTAAATAGATGATCTGAGCTTCAACATCTAAGTTATTCTGGAATACTGTTCTTAACCCACCTTTATCCAAACCATAGCCTGTCATGGACCTGGACACAAGAACTGGTACTGGGCTCACGGGCATCACTTCAAAGGTATTATCTGTTTTGATAAGGATGTTGTAATTTCCCGTGTCCAGGTCGAAGCAGTTATCACCAGTCCCAAAAAGGTCACCGTTATTGACAAGGAACACATTCCAATGTGGAAGAGCATGGACACAAACTTTTGATTGTTTACGGCCTAGGTGAGAGCCGTTCTTAATCGTACGTCCAAAGATTTCATTCAAGCTGAATTTAGTTTTGGTCTTTTGATTGATTGCAAAGCATTGGAATGCGTCAATTGGTTTCTTAGAATCGCACACCAACTCATCTCCAGTCACTGGTTTTGGAATTGGATTCGACACTCTTCTGAGTGCTCTCTGAACATCAACAACGGCATCAACCTTCTGTTGCATACTGTACTTGCACGTGGAGTGCTCCTCATCACACACAGTCTCAACATCTATGGAGATCATGTGCCATTCAGATTCAAATATTCTATGGCCATCCAAGAGAGAAGCCAGCCCTTCTTTACCTCTTGTTGGTAAGAACTTCACGAAAGGCGTGAGGTTTTCAGTACAAACAGGTTCAGATGGCAGTGCTGCTCTTAAGAGAAATAAGCCGTTACTCTGATCGAAAAGTGGGATATCATCCTTCGGAAGGAATGATCTCAAAGGGAAAACGGTGTTCTCCTCGGTAATGAAGTTCAAAGAAGCACAAAACAACCCTGATAGCAAGTTCACGAGCTTCAACCATTCTTTGAAAGCGTGTGCTGAATCTGAGGATTCAATCACAGCCCAGACTTCAACACCAGAACCACCAGCTGTTTCACCATGGTTTGGAAGCTGTCCCCAATGCTCAGAGTCCCACCAACCTTGGCCGAACCTTAGGTGTAATTCCCTTGTATTAGTTGTCTTTAAGATAGGAGCCAATGACTTTGGGAATGCCTTGTAGCTCGCTACATGTGATGATGGCGATATTTCAGTCTCCTCTGATTCCAACTTGAACTGGAACGACGTGAAAAGGTGGTTTTTCGGTAGAGGCGTTATATCGAGAGTCTCTTCATATGGGTACTCTATTGCGCGTGGTTCATACGCTGCGCTATTCAGCTCTTCACAGACAGCTGACAAAGGCAGAAGCAGATTGAGTACACTCCGCCATAACATCTTCCCAGAAACCGTTCTCTCCCGTGACACTGACCGAAGATTGAGACTTAAGCGCACATTGAACGTTGTTGAATATGTGTCCAAAGGGCCGATTCCTACTTCCTAATGGGGAACGATGAATTCCGAGCTCATCGGGCCGTAAATGAAGGGGGAGTAGACTTCCGAGGACTCAAACGATTAGAGAACAAAAAAAACATGCACCGGATTTCAAATACTTTTTCCTTCCTGGCGCTGGCGCTGCGCTTCACAAACAGAAGAACTTCAGTGCCTTCTTGATATTTTGGTAAACAAACACAAAAAGGCAGGATTCAAGCTCTGTGACGATGAGTATTCAACAGAAGGAGATAGAGTCTTTGGTGCGTGAGGGAGAGGACTTTGATCCGCTATCCGAGAGGAAGTCTCGTTGGGCACAGGATGTGTCGGATTATCACAAGAGACGGTTTGAGAGAGAACTATCGCCAGAGAGAGACCCGTCGCTTACTGATGAACAATTGGCGGAGTTGAGAGAGAAGGAGAACAGATCGGGAGCTGAACTGAAGGTACGTAGTAGAGATGCTGAGAAGGAGGAAGGTCCAAAGGCAGAGGATGGCGATGGTGATAAGACACCACCGAGAAGAAAAGCTCGTAAGAGAAGATGGGATGTTGGTGCGGAAGGGGAAGGACAAGGCGCTGGTGATGGTGAAGGCGATGAAAGGCGGGTGAAAAAAATGCACCAAAAAGCTGAAGATTTGGCGATGGTTGAGGCTGAGGGATATGTCATTCCAGAGGAAACAAGGGTCTCGAAAGCGCTGATACGAGAGTCTCTCGTGACTGAAGTACCCGGAGTCAAGGACCTTCAATTCTTCAAAGAACAGGATTCCAAATACTTTGGTAAGCTTCTGGACAACAAAGATGAAAAGGATCTATCTGTAGATGAGTTGAAAGAGAGAAAAATCATGAGACTGTTACTGAGAGTTAAAAACGGCACGCCAGCCTCTCGTAAAGTTGCCATGAGACAGATTATGGATAACGCTACAACTTTTGGTGCGAAGGCACTGTTTAACCAAATCCTGCCATTACTTTTGGAGAAGTCACTAAGTGACCAGGAAAGACATCTATTGGTTAAAGTTGTTGATAGGGTTTTATATCGCCTTGATGATATGATTAGACCTTATACTCATAAGATTCTTGTTGTCATATCACCGCTGTTGATAGACCAAGACTACCTCACTAGAAAAGAAGGACGTGAAATAATATCCAATTTGGCAAAGGCTGCTGGTCTACAGCATATGATTTTGACAATACGACCAGATATTGACCATGACGATGAATACGTTAGAAATACTACATCAAGGGCATTGGCAGTGGTTGCAAGTTCATTGGGAATACCTGCTTTGTTACCCTTCTTGAATGCGGTATGCCACTCTAAGAAATCATGGCAAGCTCGTCACACTGGTATCAAAACCATCCAACAGATTGCAATTTTGGTAAGATGTGGAGTACTACCACATTTAAACGGATTAGTTGATTGCTTGATAAATGGGTTAACAGATGAACAATTATCCGTGAGAATTATTACTGCTCAGGCATTGTCTGCGCTGGCAGAATCATCCGCACCATATGGTATTGAATCCTTTGAAGATACGCTCGAGCCTATTTGGAACGGTATACGTAGACACAGAGGTAAAGGTCTGGCTGCTTTCCTCAGGTGTTTGGGTAATATGATACCATTGATGGACTCTGATTATGCAAGCTATTATACAAGAGAATTGACGAGAGTTCTTGTGCGTGAATTCAGCTCTCCTGATGACGAAATGAAGAAGACAGTGTTGGATGTTATTAGACAATGTGTCGCTACGAATGGAGTAGAAATAAAGCTGTTACAAACTAATTTGGTTCCGGCTTTTTTCCAAAACTTTTGGGTAAGAAGGATTGCATTGGATCGTCGTATTTCAAAATCAGTGGTGGAAACTTCCGTGGTGTTGGCCGGAAGAGTTGGTACACAGGAAGTCATATCTCGTCTCTTGGCTACTTTGAAAGATGAATCTGAACCATTCCGTAAAATGGCAGTTGAGACAATCCACCAAGCTGTGGTAAATTTGGGATCAACTGGATTAACTGAGAGAACAGAGGAGAGATTAATCGATGGTATGCTTGTGGCTTTTCAGGAACAGACTACAATGGACGGTGCGATTCTTCACGGTGTTGCTGCAACAATCTCTTCCATGGATTCAAGGGTCAAACCATTTGTCGGAGCTATTGTTACCATTATCTTGCATAGGCTGAAAAATAAAACACCAGAGATACGCCAGCAGGCTGCTGATTTGATCTCACTCATTGCACCTACATTAAAATCATGTGATGAGATTGAAATTTTGGGAAAATTATCAACAGTATTATATGAATCATTAGGCGAGGTGTATCCAGAGGTTTTGGGGTCTTTGCTAGGAGCTTTAAAGGCCATTGCCACTGTCGTTGGTATCAATGATATTAAACCACCAGCGAATCAGATTCTGCCAACTGTTACTCCGATATTGAGAAATAGACACGAAAAGGTCCAGGAAAACTCAATTGGTCTTGTGGGTCTTATAGCAGACAAAGGAGCAGAGTTTGTTTCACCAAAGGAATGGATGCGTATCTGCTTTGAACTTATTGACATGTTGAAAAGTCCGAAAAAAAGTATCAGAAAGACTACAAACAAGACATTTGGCTACATTGCAAACGCAATCGGCCCACAAGATGTGTTAGTGACTTTGTTGAATAATCTGAGAGTCCAAGAACGTCAACTGAGAGTTTGTACTGCTGTGGCAATAGGTATTGTTGCTGAAACATGTTCACCTTTCACAGTGCTGCCGGCATTAATGAATGAATACAGAACACCAGAGATTCATGTCCAAAATGGTGTCTTGAAAGCTATGGCCTTTATGTTTGAGTACATAGGTGTAATGTCAGCAGACTACATCTATGCAGTGACTCCTCTTCTAGAAGATGCGCTCACAGATAGAGATCAAGTCCATAGACAAACTGCTGCAACTGCAGTAAGACAAATTGCGATCGATTGTGTTGGTCTTGGGTATGATGATGCATTTATCCATTTATTGAACATTCTATTGCCAAACATTTATGAAACCTCTCCCCATGTCATTGCAAGAATCTTGGAAGGTATTGAAGGTATTAGAAACTCTGTCGGCCCAGGTGTGCTTCTGAATTACGTATGGAATGGGTTGTTCCACCCTGCTAAGAAAGTGAGAAAACCATTTTGGAAAGTTTACAATAGTGCTTACGTACAGCAATTGGATTCTATTGTTCCTTACTATCCACAGCTTGACGATGAGAAATATAGACTAGATCTTTTTGATGCAGTTATTTGAGTCAACTGTAATAGTACAGTTACTAAGTTGATAAGAGAGAGAATGTAATAAATTTAGCATAGTTTAACTTCGACAGCTTTATCTTGTACGTATTATTCAATAGTTTCGTACTTTCCGTTATTCTCATCCTCTTCTTCTTGTTCTTCCTCGTCTTCCTCGTCCTCATCATCGTCATCACTTTCCTCCTCGCTGCTATCTTCCTCACTTTCTTCATCAGAATCTGTTTCTTCCTCATAAATAATCCTTCTATGAACAGGTGACTGTCTAGCTGGTTCATCAGCGAAGAAATCATCAAGACTTTGAAGTTTGAACTTTTTCTCAACAACTGGTGGTGTAGCAAACGTCTTTTCTGGTTTGACAGAGCTTGAGGAGACAAAACTATGTCCAATACTCTTTACATCACCCTTTACTTCAATTGGCTCTCTAATAGAGCTTGGTGGAATACTTGCACTATCACACCATGGGGGAAGAACATTGTAAGATTTAACAATATCATCAACTGGGAGTGATTCAACAATATCATCAGTCTTGGAGAGCGGATCACCGATTTTTCTCAAAGTGACCAAGGGAACAGGTTTTGGGGCCTGTAGAAATAATGATGCAAGTTGTGTATGTTTTGAGTTCAAGAGAGTGTAGAGCATCCGTGAGCGATCTCTAGTACCATATTCATCATCGTAACGGCCAAGTTTCATAACATAATTGAACATACGTGATATAATGGAGTCACGGTCAAAGTTATTCAATTCTTCATCACCCGAGGTATTCTTGTAGTACTCTAATTCATGTAGATAAATCTTTGACGCTAGAAGGATGGTCTGATATCTTACATTTGAAGTCTCTGACGTGAAAGTTTTCAACAGCTTTCTCAACACATCTGGCCCAATATGTGGTTCAATTTCAGTGAATTCGCCTATTAGCCAAATGATACTCTCTTTTGCAGAATCATCCAAGTCTTGGATATCTAACAAATGCGCTAGTTTAACCACTGTCTTGACGTTGTTTTCAGGATTGTGTTGCACGAGATGTCTAATAACTGTCAGGAATTCTGTAATGATCGACGAGTCTCTATCAGACTTGACAACTTCGCTAAGTAGCCATTTGAGGGTCTTTGAGCTCCAATATTCACTGATTTGAGAGCAAACTCCAATAGCTTTAACACTTTCAACGGAAATTCTAGGATCTTCAGAGTGTAATGAGTAATATTGAAGTTCATGGATGATACTCTTAATGTTATTTTCGTTGCAAATTGCAGACAATACCTTCAATTTGAACTCGGCTGTAGATGCATTGTCTCTTGGAAGAAGGTAAAATCTCTTTTCATATTGGACAAAGATTGTTGGATCATGGATTGCCATGTATAGAATACTTTGAAGGATATAAACACGCGATTCTGGTGGACTCGTCAAGAGACAACGAACCAGTGCTGGCGCAACCTGCGCCTCTTTAAAAGTTTTTGGTGGTGTGAGGTGGAAATAAGCCCTTGCTGTGGCTAATATAACAGCTTCGTTTCTGCTGTAGACGGATGATTTGATTGAATCGAGAAATTCCTTGAGATCTTGGTCCAATTCCACGTCGTACACGGGGAATGGAATCTCATTATAATTATCTGGAAGTTCAATGTACGTATGATCAATCGACGCCGTATTAATGATCTTTGGCTTTGGTAGGAAATGTCTAGAATAGTTGGTTAATATCTCAATGAAGTAAATCGCTGTCCATTCGTCAAATTCCCGCATCATAGAACAGATTCGATGGAAATGACCATGTAGCAAAGTGTAATCATCTGGACAGACCATTCTATATGCAAGAATTACGGAGCCTAAAACGTGTGGATCCTTATCTCTCAGTAATTGTTTGATAAAATCAACCAGTTCGTCCTTTGACGATGGTCCGTGGTTGTTAAAGACGTTGATTACCGAGATTGCAGCGGCTCTTCTTACAATTGGTGATGGGTCGCTTACACTTTTCTTTATCCCCAACAGAACAATCTGGTATATCGATGATATTCTGATCTCAGACATGACACGAATAGCTAGAGCCCGGACTTGTTCGTTCTTATCACCAATTGACTTCTGTATTGCGTTGACCGATAGCAAAGCAACGTCATTCTCTTCTTCTGCGTATCTCAGCAGGTATGAATATACCAGTTTCCTAATGCTCAAGTTGGAAGATGAAACGTTCTTGACCACGTCGGTAAAGTATTCTGCTGCGTCTTCGCCGCTAGATACCAATGATATGACATACTTCAGTCCCTTTAAGATGTCCCTTTCTGAGCTCGAGCTAAGAAGCTTTGAAACCTCCTGTGGTCTGAGATCCTTTGGTGTATCAGCCAACCTTGCAGACGCAGCAGCAGCAGCTTCTAGCCCGAGATTACGAGCCTTCTCAAGCATTGACGTGATTCTCGCAACAGAGTCAGCCATTGTGTTGTCTCTGTGCCTCTGATTTTGTTGTTTTAATCTGCCTGGCTGCTGCCTGTTGAAGTTCGAACTTTGAACTTGAAAGTAACCTGTACCAAGAAAAAAAAAAACAGACGGCTCGTTCCGGTAATGAGTGTTGAGCACAATGGATAGTGCGTTATTAGCAACAGCAATTTCGCGAAATAGAAAATGCATGCTGCGCTAACCAGACCATAGATTGAGAACCATTACATACTACTACACATAGCGCAGATCCAATATTTTTAGTTATCGATGAACATAAATGCTATATTAAACAGGTATTTCAATGACTTATCATCATCATGGCCACATCATTGGTAGTTACTTGGGTACTTGAAGTCAGTAATCTCGAAGAAGTTTTCTTTAACGTTTCTTACAGAGACAAATCTGGACAAGATATTACCAGAACCGGCCTTGTCGTTTGTACCAGAAGCTCTGGCACCTCCAAACCACTGTTGCGCAACAACAGCACCAGTGGACTTGTCGTTGATGTAAAAGTTACCAGCAGTGTAACGTAGCTTCTCCTCAGCTAATCTGATCGCATCGCGGTCTTTGGCAAACACAGACCCTGTCAAACCATATCCGTTGGTGGAGTCAATGGTTGTCAAGATCGAGGCGTAGTCGATGTCGTCGTACACATGAACGGTCAATAGTGGACCAAAGAATTCGTTCTTCAAGAATGGATGCTCTGGGTTCGTGGTCTTTACTACGGTTGGCTCGATGAAAAAGCCTTGAGACTTGTCGTATCTGCCACCGGTGATTAATTCAAGTTCTGGATCATCCTTAATGGAGTCAATTGCCTTAGCAATCTTGTTGAAACTTTCTTCATGAATCACTGGGCCCATGAATCCACGAAGACCATCAGCAGAAGAGGTATTCAATGGCTTGAACGAGTTTGTAGCCTCTGTAAGGATATTCTTAAAATCTTCCCAAATAGAAGAGGCAACGTATGCTCTTGAAGTAGCAGAACACTTCTGACCTTGGTATTCAAAGGCACCACGAAGTGTAGATAACGCTGAGTGAAGGACAGATGCAGATGGGTGAACCAGGTGGAAGTTTTTACCACCAGTCTCACCGACAATTCTTGGGAAATCTCTGTATGTATCATTTGCAACGTTGTCTGAGATTCTCTTATAGAGACTCTTGAAGACGGATGTGGAACCAGTGAAATGCAATGCACTGAATTCAGAATCTGCAAGAACAGTATCTGTGACCATGTTTGGTTCACCTGGAACGAAATTGATCACACCCTTTGGCAAACCTGCCTCTTCAAGAATTGTATAAAGCAAGTAATTGGACAAAGCAGCAGTCTTGGATGGCTTCCAAACAACCGTATTACCCATTAATGCTGGGGCACCCACCAAGTTACCAGCAATTGCTGTGAAGTTGAATGGGGTAACAGCATAGACGAAACCTTCCAAGGGTCTGTACTCAGCTCTGTTCCAGACACCTGGACTGGATTCAGCTGGTTGAGAAGCGTATAACTCCTGTGCATATTTGACGTTGAATCTGAAGAAATCAATCAATTCAGCAACAGCATCAATCTCAGCTTGGTAGACATTCTTACCTTGACCAAGCATTGTGGCAGCAAGCATATCGTATCTGTATTTGGTGCTGATCAAATCGGCAGCCTTGAGAAAAATAGCAGCTCTGTCAACGAATGGTGTGTTCATCCATTTCTCCTTAGCGAGTTTTGAGGCAGCAATTGCAGCTTTCACATCGTTCTTGTTCGCTTGTGTGATGTTTGCAAGTTCCTGAGATAACTTTGCTGGGTTGATCTGTGCGTTGAGCTCTCTATCGGTGCCCTTTCCATATATTCTTTCACCGTTAATGACCAATGGTATATCAAGGGATCCGTTGTCTGTGAACTTGGTGATGGAGGCTCTCAAGAGATCCCAGTCTAACACATCATTCTTACCAAATGGCTTCACCAATTCATTTTTGATCTCTGGGATCTTTGCGTATGACAATTGTGCAACGGTTCTCTTTTGTTGTGATAGTTGTTTTGCACAGGAAGGTGACTTGACAACTGTTCTTGAAACAGAAGTTCCCATGCTTCTAGTGAGGTTTCTTGAGAAAGAGGAACGAATAGAGCAGCTTCTGACGTTTCTTTGCAACATTTCAGGATAGATCGATAAAATTGTAATGAGATCCTAATAGAATTCAAACGGCAAAAGAATAGGAAAAGAAGATTCTTTCGATGGGTTTTTATATAACAGGGTGGGGTGGAGAAATAGACATGTTTAAAGGCCATCGCTCGGGGCAGTTTTTCATTGATGCGGGAAATCGCGTGGTAATCCCGCTGCAGCTAAGAGTAAAATCAGTCATGCGGAAGGAATAAGCGACCCGCAAAAAGATGTTGAGGGTTAATATAAGCGAAGAAAACAATTGGGCAGAGTCTTTGTGTGGCACATAGATAAGCCGACACCAAAAAAAAGCCATTCCTACAACGCTGGAAGTGAAAATTGTTCGTTAAATTGAAATCATAATAGTCGAAAGCATAGTTCATTCTGTAACACTAAACAGACGATGTGAATACTTCCTCTTCCTCTGCCACAAGCTCTCTATCAGTCTTTAACTTCAGCGAAAACCACAGTGCACCAAATGTTGCTACACCACCGAATCTAAACACCCATCCCAAGCTAGAGTCATAAACTGCACCGTCCTGAGTGTCCTTGGATAGCAGATGGAACAAAAAGCTGCTAAACAGTGAGCTGATAACCTGGGGTGCTGCTACGAAGAAGTTGTGGATTCCAAGGATGATTCCAGCTTCATGCTCATAATTCTGAAACCTCTCAGCAACCACTGGATTAACAGTCAGTGTTCCATCGTGGCCGGTGCTATCCTCGTTGTACTGCTTATGGATCCGTGATTTGACTTCTTTAATCCGGGAAACCTCCTCTGATATAAGGACGAAGGGCGCCCAGAGAGCATTGCCCCATGTAAGTCCCAAAAATGCAAAGAGAACAATCGCTGATGTAGAAGACCGTATAAAAAATGTTGCAAACATACAGACAATGAATAGCACATGCGATAGAATCCAAGAATTCTTCACAGTAAACCAGGGGAAGTATTTATCTCTGAATTTTGAGATGTACTGCTCAGCTCTTGAGGAGGTTAATACTGATGCTTCATGTGTCGCGAGACTCTCTTTGATGAAGGGTTTCACTAACAAGGGAAGGAGCAGATCTAGTCCAAAAGAAGTAATCGAGTGCATCAAGAGAGCCATTGCCCCTCTTCTTGTTGCAGCCTCTTGTAAGCTTTGCAATTCTTCTTGTGTCAGCGGTGGAAGAGAAGGGAGTCGAGCTTGGAAGAATTCGTACTTGTAGAGATCACCAACATACGTTGTGGTATAGAACAGCATTGGAAAATATCCTATCCAAGCAAAGAATTCGGCCATACACACAAGCCAAACCTGTGACGAGAGTCTTGTAACACTGTGGCTGGTTTGCTTATACAGCGATACTATGAGACCTCCAATGGTTGTTGGATTGTCTATACCCAGCTCTTTGAGTCTCTTCACATTCCTCTTTCTTTCAGCACGTATAACGACATCGGTTTGCGGGTTCCTCTCATCAATGTACCATAGGGAGACAGTTGTCACCAAAATCAGAACAATGCTTGCAATTGATGCTAGGACTTTGAACTGGGTGTTTCCAAGAAACGAGAAGAATCTAACAAGATTTATAGACCCCATGAAATAGCCGATAATGTTGAATCCACCTATCATTATAGCAGCCATAGCATTGGCTATCTGTTGCTGATAGGTAGCAACGTTATCAACAATGTAAGCCCTTGATGCAGCCTGAATTGCACTTATTGAGAAGTCCAATA